CCAGGAAGGGGTTTTGTCTGGGGGGGGGAGGTGTGATAATTCATCTCAGGTGATTTCTTGCTCTCTGATGGGGTTTCATCCCCAGGGGGTAGGAGGTGGGGGGCAGGATGGGGAGGGGGAGGCTGTGGAGGAGGTGACTTGGTGCTCAAATGGTCCCTGTGAAGAGGTTCAGCCCCCTCCTGGGGTGATGTCTTGGGGGAGGTGTGTGTGGAGGGGGTGCTGGCAGCCACCCCCATGGCCCAGCAGAGTTCCCCCAAAGCACTTCTGGCTTTGTTTGGAGCCCACGTTTTCTGCCTCTTCCCCTCCTCGTCACAGGCACTGTGATTCCATGAGGGTTCAGCCCTGAATTCCCATGGGGCTCCAGACTTTCTGAGTGGGTACCCAGCTCCCTGGTACCCAGCTCCCTGGTACCCAGCTCCCTGGTACCCAGCTCCCTGGTACCCAGCTCCCTGGTACCCAGCTCCCTGGTACCCAGCTCCCTGGTACCCAGCTCCCTGGTACCCAGCTCCCTGGTACCCAGCTCCCTGGTACCCAGCTCCCTGGTACCCAGCTCCCTGGTACCCAGCTCCCTGGTACCCAGCTCCCTGGTACCCAGCTCCCTGGTACCCAGCTCCCTGGTACCCAGCTCCCTGGTACCCAGCTCCCTGGTACCCAGCTCCCTGGTACCCAGCTCCCTGGTACCCAGCTCCCTGGTACCCAGCTCCCTGGTACCCAGCTCCCTGGTACCCAGCTCCCTGGTACCCAGCTCCCTGGTACCCAGCTCCCTGGTACCCAGCTCCCTGGTACCCAGCTCCCTGGTACCCAGCTCCCTGGTACCCAGCTCCCTGGTACCCAGCTCCCTGGTACCCAGCTCCCTGGTACCCAGCTCCCTGGTACCCAGCTCCCTGGTACCCAGCTCCCTGGTACCCAGCTCCCTGGTACCCAGCTCCCTGGTACCCAGCTCCCTGGTACCCAGCTCCCTGGTACCCAGCTCCCTGGTACCCAGCTCCCTGGTACCCAGCTCCCTGGTTCCCAGCTGGGTATGGGCTGAGCTCCCCAGGCAGGGCAAGCATCCAAGCTGCCAGCCGCAGTTGTCACCTCCACGTGCCTTCCCTTCCCCATCCAAACGAGCTGGGCTGACTTGGGAGCACGGCTGGCCCTAAAAATAACTGCAGCAAAGCTCCCTGAGCACTGACAACCCCCCTGGGAAGCTCCTGGCTCTGATCCCAGGAGGAGCAGGGGACTAGGATGGAGGTGGAGGGGGACTCATGAGATGGAAGCGACTTTCCAAGGGATAATGGGGAAGGAGAGAACCTGCCCCTGCCTCCTTTCTGCCACGCAGAGCCCCAGGAGGTGTATCCCTGGTTTTGCCATGCCCTCAGCAGGCAGCATTCCCTGCATCCCAAAGGATGGAGGGACATGTGGTGGCAACTGCTCCAAAAAGTTTTGCCTTGGGAGCAGAAGCTCCCTATGCTCTGGCACCTGAAGCCACCTGGATCTGAGCCACCTTCCTTTGCCTCCACTTGCCCACGAGGCTTGTGGCCCAATCCTGCAGGGTGCTGAGCCCTCTCACCTGCTGCCTGCTCCAGGCTGGTGTAGCCAGGTGTGCTGGGAAGGGAGGTGCTAACATTGGGAAGTCCTTGCCAGGTTGGTAGTTTCTGGGAGCTGCTCTCCCCCTGGTCCCCCCTGTGCCGTGCTCGGTTGCCATCGTTACTGGGTATTTTAGCTCCCTCAGCCTTTGCACTGGTGGTTTATTATAGCAGCTCAGGAGGACAGTGCCAGAAGATGAGGGGGGGGAAAAAGGAATCTGTGGCTTTGGGGGGAAGTTCATGGTGATTGGGATGTGGTGGGTTTTTGTGTCCTTTCCCCCTTCCCTCCATTTCCTCCCTGCTCCTCCCCCTGGAAAGCTCCTGGATCCCTGGCTTAGTGCAGGGATGAGTTGATTCTGGTGGAGTTTGGGTGTGAGGAGGGTACACCTGGGCACACCTGCCCGCAGGATATGGGTGCTCCACGTTGGATTTGCAGCACCCACAGCTCCAACCTCCTTCCCAGGAGGGTTCAGGCCGTGCCTGGTGCCGGAAGAACAGGGATGCTGAGAGCATTCCCAACCCCAGTGAGCCTCGTGTTCCTTCTCCTTTGCTGCTGGGAGCAAATATCCCCTTAGGAAACGGGGTGAGAAAAGGGGGGCAGGTCGATGTTGAGGGACAGAGCTGGTTCTCCAGAGGCAGCTGGAGAGGCTGGTAGTGCCCGGGTGTGTGGCTCAGATCTGGAAGCTTCGCTTGCAAACACCGGAGAGGCAGAAAGGGGAAAGGAGGAGGGGAAGGAAGCAAAGGAAGGAAGGATAAAAAAAAAAAGCAAATGCTTATTTCACATGAACAAGCACGAGCTGGGGCTGGAGAGACAGGCAGGGAGGAATCTCAGGCAGGGCACGTGTCTGGTGCGTGGCAGAGCAGGACACGCTGCCACCAGAACCTTGCATTGCAAAGGGGACGGGAAGGGTGGGAGCTGCCCTCAGCCCCCCCCATCCCTCAGCCCCCCCATCCCTCACC